CCCCCCCCTCCAACACACACACACGCACCTAGACAGCACGAAAAAAACATATACACATACTTATTCAAAATGATTTTATCAATACTCTGCAGGAAGAGGCACCACAATAACTCATGTAACCAAGCACTTCAACTGAATTACTTTCCATGTAGCAGTGCATGACAGCTCACTAAATACTCATTCCACAGCTATCTTGGCCCAACCTGAGAGAATAAATCAAGCCTGAATGAGCCAGCATTCAAGATTGTCCACTTCAGCTGTATTTCACTGATCTGGCTTGTCATCATTTTCTTTGTGATCTAAAGAAATTGGCCAAATCCTTCTAATTAAGTTTACATTTGGAGGCCAGAGCAGTGCACCTGTCAATCTTTGGATGCCGCTTCCATTCTTCAGTACCAATCATCAGATACCACAGAGGTCCCAAATCATATTAATTTCCAAATTATTCAGTATTTGCTTTTGTCTGCATGGTGCACCAGATGGGAGGGTCGCTCACTTTTGGGAGTAATTCACTTGATGACATTATGTCAGACAGGCCCAATCAATCACAGAAAAGTGACTTGAAGTTTTTAATCACCCAAGTCTATCACATCAACCAGCTCCTCCATGAATTCTGCAAAGCTCCATTAGAATCTGCAGTTTCAGACAGCTGTCTGGCTTGCTTGCCCACACCTGGCCCATCTGTAGTCCCAGTTAACTCACTGGCAGTACCAGGCAGATCAAAGAAATGGGGACGGGGAGTGCTGTCAGTCACCCCACTGCTGCAGACTCCTGCAGGCTTCCCCTGACAGCTGCTTGTCACGCCTCTGATCTTCTGTCTGCCTGCTGGCTGCAGGGGGGTGGGGTGCAAATTTTGGGTGGTGGGTGGCAAGAAGTAGATGATACGGCTTGTTTGAAAAGTTGTTTAGGGACTTGAAGGGGAAGTTTGCTTCATTATTCAATGCGAGCGTGCTCAACCTATGTATGAGTAGAAGTCATGACACTTGAAAGTCCTGTAGATTATCCTTAAGTAAAATATTTGTGCAGTAAAAATAGATAAAGTCTGTCTTTTTCCAACTGTGTCTAGTGTTAATGACTCTAAATTAGCATCAGCCAGAGGGACACGGATGAAATCATTAGAGAGACCTGCCAAAGGCATACTGGGAAGAGGAACCCCCTAATCAGGTTTTACACTCTGACTAAAAACACATGCAGGGATAATCCAGAAGATTGATTCACTGTTTGTATAATAAAGATGCATCATGAATCATGATGTAAATCACTGAGGATAGCAGGAGGAGAGGATGAAAAGACAGAGTTTTTTTTCCCTTCCAGAAGTAGTTTGGGGGAGAAAACTACTACTGACCAATGAGTAATTGGTTTGTAATGAACACACAGGGAGGAGGGAGGGGGGTAGAGGAAACACAATAGATGAATAATTACCTTCATAATTACATCCAGGTCCCCAGCAAATGAAGGGGGGCAGAGTGGACCCTAGAGGTAGCTCATGAGGATTGTGTCTCTGCCCATCACAGGACAGGACCATGCATCGAGTGGTCCCCAGTGAGCCTTGTCCCGAACTCAACTGTGCCGAGTCGGAGCAGATTGCTTTGAGTGACAGATGCTGCAAAGTCTGCAGAGGTATGTGCTAGCTGTCAACCTGTACTACATTACTGCTATGCCATATAACTTTTGAAGGTTTAAAGCTATTTTTCACATTTTGCAGGTTTTTTCTTACATGCTGGCAAAATCTAATAATTAATGGCTGCCTTTAAAGTAAATCAAGTCAATCAGCAAATCAGCAGATGAATCTAAAAACAGGAATAATATAAAGCCTCTGTGATTTACAGAGAATGGGCTTAAGCTTGTTGATGTACTTTTTGCTCTGATTTCCAACAGCCGCAATGTTGGAGGGAAATTATAGCAGTTGATGTCATTTTTGATCTAATATGCTTTGGAAAGAAGCCACCGTATGAATACTCAGAGAAAAGGTTGTGATGCTATGACATAACCTTTCCACTGGCCCTGTATGCCTCAATCACTCCTCTCCTCTCCTCTCCTCTGGGTCTCAACCTTTCTCTCTGTGCCTGCTGCAGGTCATGACTTCTGCTCAGAGGGCCACGGCTGCGTGGAGCACTCCGACTGTGTGAACCTGGAGGCAGGAGACTGCTGTGTTTGTAAGGATGGCTTCCGCCCACTGCGAGACGATAACGCCTACTGTGAAGGTACAGCATGACTCTGAATTACAAACCTTGACTTTTAGCTGAAGTTTATCTGTCAGTGTGCCGCTGTGGCATCAAAGGGGTCATGAGAGGAACCCGCACTTTGTTTTTGGGAGGACCTGGTAGTTTTAATTCAGCGTTATTTTTATAATGAAGGATGTACAGTTGTCATAGCACTCTCACTGCCTCACTGATTCAATTTCGTGAAAACAAAACATGTTTGATATTGAAATTACATGGAGGAAAGTGAGAGTGTGTGGGTCAGTGGTCAGTGAATATATTGATCTTGAACTTTGTGTTTATTCATTCGGCATTACATGAGCATTATAAGTGATTTCTTTACATGTTTTTGTCACTTTCTTCCTTTTATACATGCCCATATAACCACGAAAAACACATTTCCTACTTCTAGGATAATACAAGTGTTATTTTTCATTTATGCCAGTTATTTTGTTCTTTTATTCTTGCCAGGGTCATCTCACAGTCAGGATAGTAGGAGATGTCAAAGCTTGTTTTGCACCTTTCATAAGTTGTTTTCTGCTATTCATCTTGGAACAATATAAAAACAACCTCCACAGACTTGCCTAAGGCCTGAGGTAGATCATTTAGGGCAATAAATACAAAACATTAGATCAGTGTTTGGCAAATTTGAGTTATATTCATTTGTTTCTGGGGTCACATTACTATTTGCTGACCTGACACCTGAAAGAAATCCCTCGAAAATGTTGGCTTACAACCTCTATTGTCTTGACTTTAGTGCCATGTTTTAATATTTGGGCAATTTCTGTCATTAAAAAAATAAATAAAATGTTAAAATATGTAAATACATATATCTGTGAATTGCAAAATAATGTAGACATTTTCTAAATACCCACAAAAACACTTTGTTGAATTCATGCTTTTATCGCATAATCCTTTTGTGATGGGAGACTGTAATCCCTTCATTATTTGTGTCCACAGCACGCAATAACTGCTTTTCTGAATGCCTTTTCAGAGACTAATGTTTGTCTTCTAAGTCAGTTGATTAATTTGTGATATAAAAACATGCTGAAGGCCTTTATGTTTGCATGTATTTAGTGTCATTCTGCTGGGCGAGCAATTAAAGTCTTGCAATCTATCATCAGTGAGGTCATTCATTACTGATTGTTCACTAAGGCTCAGTAGTCTCCAGCCATTTAGCACTTTTAAAGTAAATCACAATGAGATTGATTATATCAGCACTGCTCTCCTTTAAGAATATACACTGTTTTACTTGATTGCCTTTTGAATGTCCCACTATATGTAACTAAAAAACAGGCTCTATACCTCACTGAATAGGTTACTTCATGTTGATGGTGAGGCTATGAAAAAGTTCAAACGTTCACACACTATTGACGGCGCTTCAGCTGAATTTCTGACATCTTGACTGAATTTTACCAGATGCATCGTTAAAAAAATGATGACTTTATAATCTCCAATGTTATCTTGCAGCAAAATATGTAGTACACATCGTGTCATAACTGTGCATCTCTGGTATTAATGAGCAAACACGGCATCAAAGTTATTCATATTTTTCTGCACATGACCTTGACAGCTGCCGTGTCAATATATAGCCTTCTTGATCTTCATTCTTCATTGTGTGTGTGTGTGTGTGCAGTTTTAGAGCATCTGTTTGTGAGTACATTGCCTTGGCCTATTTTTTTTTATCTACAGTCCACACACGCCCTGTAATATATTTCCTGTCACCTTCATCAAGATGAGGCTAAAGTCTCAATCGAGCCGCAGAGCTTATTGTTACTGTAACCAGGGTGCTAAATGAAAGAGTAGTAGTTCTTAGCTTCTGCAGATCTCACATTAATTTACAGATATGAACAGTTGTCCAGGTAATTAGATGGTCTTAGGGAATCTGCATAATTGAAGATACTATCTGTCTTAATTTAAAGGGAAGCGATGCTGTTGGTCTGGCCTCATTCACCATAACAGTGTTAAATCACGGTGTCTTTGCAAACAGCATTCAGACAATGGTGGAAAGTAATTAACATTTACTTGAGCATTGTGCTAAAGTACTGAGGCACTCAGAGTTTCAAGTATTTCAATTTTATGCTACTTTATACTTACTAAGCATTATACATAATATACTTCACTGCATTCCAGTGTGTATGTACTTTTTCACTGAATTACATTTAGGTGTGTAACTTTGCAGATTAAGCTTTTACATACAAAACATCTGTTAGAAAATACAATACACTGTAAAACTACTCAGCAATATAAAAGTAGTTAAAAGTAGCTCTAACTCAACCAACAACTTGCTTGCTTGTTACTATGTTAATACATCAGTAACAATAATACAATCATAAAATACATCTTATAATATCACACTCTATCAGGTGACATTCTTACTTAAAGGTCCAGTGTGTAACATTTAGGATCAATTGGCAGAAATGAAATATAATATTCATAGGGATGTTTTTATTATGTTTAAACATCTGACTATAGAGATTGTTGTGTTTTCATCACCTTAGAATGAGCCATATTTTCGACAGACACTGTGGGTCGCCTTCAATAGAGTCCGAAATGGTTTATACAGTAGCCCGTAACGGACAAACTGTCTGCAGATAGGGCCTTTCACGTTTTTTGCAAGGTTCACAGCCTCATAGTTTCTCCTACACTTTCACAGCCCATTCTCATTCCCAGGTCATCCAATACAGATGCCAGTGGTGTCAGTTAGTTGCAATCTGAAACTTAATATCTAAATGCCACTCAGTCCCTAAACATTTAAGTATATTTTGCTGACAATACTTACTTTTCCTTTTACAGTTTTGAATGCTGGTATTTTTATTGAAATTGGATTTTTTTGTTTAAAACAAAGCTGCACTAATCAGTATTTTAATATTATCAATGGCTCAAATGACTATGTAAAATGTGACAGGGGTTGATTGTAGTGACAAACTCGCAGTCACCTTCAGCTCTGTGAGTGTTTTAGCCCTTTGTTTTGGCTCTACTACTTGGACTACTTGACAGACAGAACTAGCAACTGACTAGTAAACAAAGTGGAGAATTTAGCAACTACAGAACCAGATATTTCCGTCAGAAGTTGGTTGATACCCAAACAGAGCTCGAAGCAGAGTAAATATACTTTATTTATCAGTTGTCCAGAAATACGACTCCCAATGAATTCTAATGTTGCTCCATATCTGCTAAATGTGTAAATAGGCAAATGTTTGCTAAATTGTTCATCATAACTACTTTATGAAGTGACAATATGTTAGTGTTGAGTATAAATCTTATTTCGCTGCCCACAAGTGGCAAAAAATCTGTTAATTAATGTTTAAACATTTTAATGCTTCTCAGTCAGTTTGACCCCCAGTAAATGGTTTTGAAATCTATTTAAATCAAGTGTCAAAAAGGAAGATAAAACACAAGGACAAATATTTGACTCATAATTGGTCTTGAGTGAAAGCTAGGTATTTGTTCCACCCACACATTGACATGGTTTTGCCCTGAAAATGTGATGAAAACACCCAGACAATATTATTGTAATTGTTGTCGAAATGAGGAGAAAGCAATCTATCCCATTACCAGTGTGAAACAAAGTACAAGCAGACAGACTTGTGCCTCCAACATCAACACTTCAGATCCACACTATTCATCTTAAGAGCAGCCTTAGTCTCACTATGAAATTGGATGGTAGTGTTTGTGGTGAGTGTTCGCATCAGAGACTGCATAGAGAAACCTGAAATTGACTCGGTTTGCTGATGGAGATCTCTAAAAAGCAATTGATTTTTTGTGTGTCTCTGTAACTCACTTACTATATGATTTTGTGTGTGTCTCCTGTGTGGAAAAAACCAAACTGTCTTGCCAAAACATTGAGGATCCTGCAGATGAATGAGAGATTGTTTGTATTCGTATAATAAGTACACTGTTTTGTGGTGAAGGAGGAGAAGAGAGATGTACAGAAAGATGAGTGAAATTGCCTGCTTTCAATTCTAGATGAGTTTCAATAGAGTCATCCCTGCAAGATGAGAAGTCCAACTTAGAGGCAATTTTGTGTATCGAACACTGCAGGCAGATCATAAAACAGAATGATATAAAGGTTCACAAACGCAGGTTTTTATGTACACACACAGCACTTTTGGGGTCTTGTCAAATGTAAAGACAAACATCACAAAAAGCAGAGACAGATACTAGCTCTTTAAAACATTCCTAGGTCAGAGATGGGCTCAAAATAGCCGATGAGATCACTTCTGTGTAAATTTTTCATAGAAGCAGCAGTAGGGAAAACTCAGGGGGATACTAGCCCTGCCTTTGTGTAAGTCTGTGTGTGTGTG